GTGCACGTACTGCTCCCGATGCCCTTGTCACAAGCTCGATAGACATGCAGCGAACTGCAGCGTACCAGTCTATGTTTACGTCAGTGCACGTACTGCTCCCGATGCCCTTGTCACAAGCTCGATAGACATGCAGCGAACTGCAGCGTACCAGTCTATGTTTACGTCAGTGCACGTACTGCTCCCGATGCCCTTGTCACAAGCTCGATATACATGCAGTGAACTGTCGATGTCCCAGGCAACACCTGGCAGGGTTCAAACAAAAGGACATCACCTAACTGCCGATGTGAAGGGGAGAGTCAACCTGTATATCAGTGTTATCACTGAGGAATTAACCATGCACAGGCACCGCACCGTCTGTGACACAGCCTTTGGCAGGCTTCGTTAACGAGTGCAAATGCTTAGTGGACTCTACTAGTACTGTTCATCAAGGTGCAGCGAACTGGGAAATAAGGGACAGCTGCGTGAAATAGACTATATATAAACTGCGGCGGTTCGTACATGTATGCCACCCTGAGGAGGAACACTTTCTGTCACCTAGTCTTTTCTTTGGATCCGTGCGCTGGCTTTCATTATGGCGCACGGATCCACCATGTTATCATTTTTTTTCCCTCTGCCGCGCGCATTTCTCTTCTATGCGCGGCCAGTGCTCCATATTTGGCCATCTTCCATATCATTTCAGTTACACTTGCATCACTTCCACTGGACTATAAGTTATAACTTATAAGATACGATATCATCAGCTTGTATTAAACTTGTAATAGTTGTATATTTTCCGTGAGAGTAATCTGTGATGTGGTGTGCGTCTTTGTGAAGTAGGGGAAAAGGAACAAATACAACAACACTGTCATTTTGGATACGTATGCCCGATGTGAGTGAACGATGTGTATGTATCCATCGGCCTAGATGCACAGGCACTTGGGCCGTTTCAATAATAAAATGATGGTTAATAAATACAACTTGTCAGTACTAGACCTACCAGTACAGTGGCAGTACCAGTAATAGTCTCAATGTTTGATTTTACCTAATAACTTCACTTCAATACCGTCCAATACACCGCTGCAACACACATTCCTACAGCGCGCACGCCATTGTGCAAAAATACACAGTAAATAATATAGAGTTTACTGTTTAATATAGTGTTTACTCTATATTACTGTGTATTTGTGCAAAATGGTGGCGTGCGCGCTATAGGAATGTGTGTTGCAGTGGTGTGTCACTGTCACTGTGTGTATTGGACGGTATTGAAGTGACGTTATTAGGTCAAATCAAACATTAAGACTATTACTATAGTATTACTGGTACTGGTACTGGTAGGTCTAGTACTGACAAGTTGTAATTATTAACCATCATTTTATTATTGAAACGGCTTAAGTGCCTGTGGCCTAGAGATGAGTCTAGGGCCTGATTGCACTGGAACTATATCGATTGTCATACGGTACACGATACAGTCCGGTCGTAGCCGATGAGATCACAGGCACTTGAAGCATATCAACTGTAAACATACGCCGCCGCCATTGCGCGTACACATACACATAAATATATAGTGTGTATTTTTGTCTATTGTATTGTGTATTGTGTATTGTGTATTGTGTATTGTGTATTGTGTCTATATATTTATGTGTATGTGTACGCGCAATGGCGGCGGCGTATGTTTACAGTTGATACGCTTCAAGTGCCTGTGGATGAGATTATAGTATCATCGATTCTAGCGTACTGACATGCCACACATTTGACAAATGTTTCGTTTTTGATTACCAACAATAAGGATATCACGATGCGAAATAAACAATAGGCCCTACGACAAACTAAACTAGTAAGTATGTTTTAATTCCATTCACTCACTATCGTGTCCAAGAAAACATCATCTGTTCGCCTCACCCTGTCGTCGTTGGTTCGCTTTTGATTGGATAGTGTATTTCCGAAGTAGAACGTACCACGAGACTGTGGCGCCATCTTGATGAGGTCAATTTTAGTTCATGCCGCGTGGAATACACTGTTTTTTTGTTTATAAGAATTCTTTTTATAAGAATCATCGGGGCTCGATTTCTCTTTCGACGCATCTGAGGGGTCTAATTTCCCAATTTTTCTGGGGGAGGGCCCTGACCCCAGACCCCCCTTCGCGTGCTCCCAAGTTTGGGTTACGGTTAGACCCCCCCCCCTGGTACAAATCCTGTACACGCCCCTGGTGTGGATGGGCGTGTATTGGCGACTGAGCGTGGAGGATCAACGTAAAGGCGCGTACTATACACTAGAAGATGAGAGCACAGTCGGACTTGGTAAAGGATATGGCAGTTAAAGGTGTTACGAGGGAGATGATAAAGAGGGTACATGTAAATGATGTGGACGCGATATATTAGAAAAATTAGATGTGGTGGCAAGAGTAGATCGAGGAATATCAATCTGGGACAGTGTCAGATTAAATTCAGACAAGGAACACCACCAGAAAAAAATGCCACATTACATACGACAGATTCACGAGCTTATAATTACTACAGCAAGGACGACCAATGCTGCTGCATGTGCAACGGAATGCGCAAGCCAGTGCGCACGGATTCACGCTACCTGATTCAATTTTCGAATACATTCCAAATGTGCAGATGTAATTAATACTCCGTCATTTCTACCTGTTATAGTTGTTCGGTGCTATCTTTACCGCCTTTACCTCTACCCTCATATCATGTCAGCCCTAATTTCTCATCAATACTCTACGTTTGAGGCACCACCTCTATATGCCTCCCTTTTCCGCTTCCCAGTCATCTTCGCCTTTTACCATCTTATTGTTTTCACCGGCGTGTGTTTGAGTGTAGGTTTGTGGGTTTGTGGGTTTGTGTACGCTCGCTGATTGGCTGATTGGCCCGCCACCGCCGCCGCCGCCGCGCCGGAACCGCCTGTATCATACGGGTTTGTCTATATTCAGGCCGGTACAGGAGATAATTTGCATATTTTATCACGTGACGTCACATCCAGCTGTGAAGAAGATGGTGAAGGAGGAGGAAGGGGAGAAGGGAGAAGGTGGTGGAGAAGGAGGAGGGGAGAAGCTGGTGAAGAAGGAGGACGACCGGTGCGGTGGATGCGGTGGGACGCAGGTGTCGTAGGTGGAGAGAGTGCGAGGTGAAGAGGGCGGGGGCGGGGCGGACGCGGCAGCGGAGGGAGAAGCTGGTGAAGAAGGAGAAGGGGAGAAGTGAGAAGTGTGGTTCGCGAGGAAAGAGGAGGGACGAAGCTGTGAGAAGGGGAGGGGATGAAGGGAGAAGATGGTGGAGGCAGGGAGAATCTAGTGAAGAAGGAGGGAGAAGCTGGTGCGAGAAGAGGAAGGGAGAAGGGAAAAGGTGGTGAGAAGGACGGAGGGGAGAAAGTGGTGGAGATAGGAGGGGGAGAAGCATGGTGGAGAATGAAGAAAGGGCAGAGGTCTGGTGGAAGAAGGAGGAGGTGGTGGAGAAGGTGTGTGGTGAAAGTGGGAGAAGGGAAGAAGGTGGTGCAAAGGGTAGAAGGGCACCTCTCCGCTGCCGACCGGTTCTCCGACGCACCCCCACCAGCTCTCGCGCCTCTTCTTTCTGGCCCACCACTCGCCCCTCTACCACCAGTTTGCTCCTTCCTCCCCTCCTCCGTTCCCACGCCAGCTTCTCGCCCTCCTCTCAGGCCCGGCGCGCGAATTACAGTCTGATTGGTTATCAGACACAAACCACGTGACAAAGATATGCAAATGTATCTCCCTTGACCGGCGCTGAGAGATAGACAAAGCCGTATCGCAACAGCTTAAGCCTAAACACGGGAGAGAGAGACGGATTGTCAATAAAACTGTCTCAGGATACCTCACAAAGTTGGCTAAGCTAGCCAATTGATGAGAGTTGGTGGGATCTCGGATCCAAGAATAAAATTTCAGGATGGATCAGAAAAATGGAGTAATTAGAATTGATTGACATTGTGTGATGCCGATCCAATAATGTCAGAATAGGAGTGAACTTAGAATTGATTACATTTTGTTGGTGATCTAGATCCAATTAATTATTTAATTAATTAATTAATTTTTCCACTTAATTAATTAATTAATAAATAAAAAATTTCACATTGAGAGAATTCAGCTGCCTTGGCGGAGGTCTGTGCTCTCCGAGTGCTCTAGTTGCATATAGTATGGATTGATCTTTTAAATCACAACTTTTTTACAATGTGTAGTTCTATGTTACAAGGATGCTGGGGGGTATACATGTCATGAGGTGTGATATGACCGCGTGTATTTCAACATTCAGCATGAAAACGATAATTAATTAGTGTAGTGTCAGTTGTGATTTCTGCATAGTGCATTTAGGTGTAATTCGTGATGTTCTCCAAGAAATGAAAACTCCAATATTTCTTTTACCGCGAATTCCGTATTGCCTCTTGATTTTCGGCTTGTGATAATTAGAACTATATACTAAGAGTTGAAAAAGGGTCCAATTATTTACTGAGCGATAAGAATGGGGTACCTATAATCAGGACTATATCTATTATAATTAGACTATTAAAGTTTAATCAGAATTTCGACATGTTTCAGTTTCAAGACAGGTTTACTAGTGGTTACGCTTCTTTGAAGTAATGCGCGCGGTTCATATTTATTATCGCCCATCTAACACGTCACATCATTGAAGGGGGATGTGGGCTCCATTCCCAGTTTCTCGAGTAAAAATAGGCCCTATACTATACTATACTATGCCATTTCCCAGCTCCAAAAATTGCAAGTTTGGCCTTCTCGCATCCCAAAGTACAACAAATTCTTCTGGCATTTCCCCCTATCCTAGACAGGCATATGTCCCTATTCCTCATCCTAAAAATAATCGCTCCAGTCCCTGATCATTGACCTAGCTGTCGTATTTCTATACGTCGTATGAGAAAGGTCCACGTAAGCGCAAGGGTCGCGTGGTGTAAGCATGCATGTCCGTCCCGCCCGTTTTTCTTCTTCTGACTCACTCACGGTATATTTGGTGACAATGGTCAACGTGATTTCACATTTCCTGATTCGCCTGCAGTTTTCATTGGTATAACATTTGGTTAGTTTATTATTAATAACATAATTAACCTCCTAAACTTATTTACGTCTTTTTGATCTACACGAATTAAATTTTTACGCGCACTACCACGCTGTGTAAATCGAGTGTTTACCTACTTGTGTTGGTGAGGTCGTGTGCCTTAACTACACTTATTGTTGCAAATATATGTATTTATGTATTCAATCAGAAACGAATAAAAACGAAATGGTTTTTACTCACTCATGATTTGATAGTGCTAAATAAATTCATCTAATCTAAATAAATCTAGCAATAAACCGTTTTAATTTACCACAGGTGGAGCCACCAGTTCATTAAACATTGAAATCAACAATGGTTGATGAATCGTTTACATTGCAGATGGAAGGAAGGTAATATACTCCAAGATACGATCGGCCTACGCTACCTACAGAACCATCAGGATGTGCATTAACATTGGTTCCGCAGTGTGGTCGGGCTAAAGGTAATTATGAGTAAAATTAACAAAGTGGCTGGAGGTACGGCAGCCGTCGTTCGTTGAGCTTTGAAGCTCCTTTTGGCGTTCCGAGTCGGCGAGTGTTTTCTAGGCCTAGCTCATCAACTCTCAAATCGTGAATTTATTTCCCCAATGCATTATTTCGAAATCTGAATTGGCCGCCGCCATCTTTGTCTCGTTTGTATGAAAGTGAATGGACTGCCGTACCTCCACTCCAGCCATTGCCTAAAATTAAATAACCTAAATTAAATAAAATTAAATTAACCTAAATTAAATGCCTAAATTAGATAACGAGACCATCACAAGAATGCCGATTAGCGGCCACACCACACGTTGCGGCTCTGGCCATAGGGTTTACGGCTATAGACCGAAGGTCCGATAGACCAAAGGCTCGATAGACCGAAGGTTTATTCGAATACGCAGTGGCTACACGTCCGGAATCGGTCGCCTAGCCTCCAGGCTACGCATCCTGACATCCACTGATACCGTATTCGAACGTGAATATGCCGCACATCCACCGATGCCACTATAAACCATATATATATGCCCTAACCCTAACCCTAACTCTAACCCTAACCTTTTGCAATATTCGGTCTATCGGACCTTCGGTCTATAGGGCTGCCCCCGGCCATAGGTCGTGGGTGTTGTCTACCGTACTGACTGAGTTGCAATACATGCGCTAACATTGTATAGATACTAGGGCTGTCATTGGTATCAAATTATTTCGATTCGATTATTGATATATTTTTTTTCGATATTTCGATCCGATTCGATCTGATTCGATTTAATAATTGTAATAAAACATGAGCCGTGAAAGTACAGTAAACTCATGTACCGTATTGTGTTCTACTATGATAACTATGCATTTTATACATCGCTGTGCTTAAATACAACATGGGCGAAGTATATATTTATCTGAATTCAACCAGATTGACCTGGCGTCGCGGCGATGGCGAAGCAGCAGACATGCTTTTACGGTAGACAGATTT